CCACCCCCCCCCAAAAAAAAAAAAATATATATATATGACCCATAATAAGGAGAAAAAACAATTAAAACCAACCCAGAACCTGACACCTAAGTGAGAATTAAACAAGGACATTTAAACAGTTGTTATAACTGTATTTCATGTATTCTAAGTAGAGACTTGGAAGATATTTAAAAATACTCACCTTGAACTTTAGAAATGAAAAATCACTAGATGGGATTGGACATTGGCAAAGAAAAGAGTCATGAACTTGAAGACATAGCAATAGAAATTATCCAATATTAAATACCATGAGATAAAAGAATGCTTAGAAATGAATAAAAAGCATATAAAATATACATCAAAAAGAAAGTATATCATTTACAATGACTTAAAGTTATGGAAAAAAGACCAGGGGTGGAGGATCATGCCTGTAATCCCAGCATTTTGGGAGGCTGAGGTGGGAGGATCACTTGAGGCCAGGAGTTTGAGACCAGTCTGGGCAACACAGCAAGACCCAATCTCTATAAAAATAAAAATAAAGTTATGAAAAAGACTTTAGGCATCAACTAAACATGGGCAAGCAGGTATTTTTTTTTTAATTATTTTGTAGGGTTACATAACAAGAGTTTGAAAATGCTATTCTAGATCCCATCTTCCTTCTCCCTTCGTCCTTTGGTCACCCTCTCTCCCTCCTGAGACATTCTTATCCTCCTCTCATCTGGCTCATTCCTATCAACATGGTTATCCACTAGTGTCCACATTTTTAAGGAAACCCTTCTTTGACCCCCACAACCCACCTCCAGTTATGCCCAATTGCTCTGCTGTATTCACAGACTCTGCATCCTATACTTGCCATCTCTGCTTCCTCATTTCTCGAGTTTTCAGCCCATTCCCATGCGGCTTCCTCCAAACTCCACCAGCATTCCTCTTGCTAGACTTGCCAGTGACTTTCTTGTTGCAGAATTAAATGGACCCTTTTTTGTTCTCATCTTGCTTGTCCTTTCAACTGTTTTCAATAGTTTAGTGCTCCCTCTTTCAACAATTTACCACTTCCTTCTTCTTGGCTTCTGGGACACCACCCTTTTTTTGTTTTCTTCTCACCTCTCTAACATCTTTTTATCACATTTCTTAGCAGGTACCTTATTATCACTGCAACTTCTAAATGTTAGTGTCCCTGACCTCAGCCCTAAGGCTCTCTCTACACTTCTTCTCTTGGTGATCTCTTCAAATATCAAGCTTTAAATTCATCCATAAATCAATAATTCCCAAGAGTTATCCTTAACCCAGGCTCTCCTCTGGTTGTAACCACTTACATGACCTCTCCTCTGGAAGTTTTAAACTTGGTCATAGCCGGGCTCGGTGGCTCAGCCTGTAATCCCATGCCTTTGGGAGGCTGAGGTGAGTGGATTGCCTGAGCCCCCGGGTTCAAGACCCGCCTGGGCAACTTGGCAAGACCTCATCTCTACAATAAATCAAAAAATGAGCCGGGCGTAGTAGTGCACGCCTGTAGTTCCAGCTACTTGGA